GTTATGTGTGTGTGTATGTGTATATGTGTGTATATATATATATACACACACACACACACACACACACACACACACACATTAATAGAAATATATAACTCCTAATTAAACAACATTTCCCGTATTAAATGGTGTTTACACATTGTGAATGTGTTTGATATAGAAATATGGAATCTCCCTATTTTCAAAAACTTCTCTCTTGGCACCCAGAGAGAGAGAGGTGACTTCTTTCTGTTTTGGGAGTCTGGCTTGGCCTGTACAGGAAATCTCTTGTTTCTTTGTTTATTCTTGAAGAAATTTTACTAAAAACATCTTACAACTTGGGATTATACATATAAGTGAAGCTATTTATAAATATGGGTGATATAGTGAAATTCAGTTTTTAAATTTGAAACAAACCATATATTATTCCTTTAGTCTACCATTTCTAAATTAGGGATGGCTAGTGCAAATATCCCTAGAGTAGTTTTGTGCAAAATTAAACAAACCAAAAAGAAAACGCAGCATACATACTGCTCAGACATCACTATAGCTTTCATTCTCTCAAGAATGATCTCCACAGAACTGAAATGTATCATATAGGGTATTTACTGGAAGACCTCCTAGTAGAACTCAACTAAGAAAGCAAACTTGAATTCAACAAGTAAATTCCATTTCTCTGTTCAGTTGACAGGGTCACCTTGTTCTCTCACAGCATTTGCTGGCTGTATCATATATACATCATCCATTCAGCCAGCAAAGGATATTGCAGTTGATAACCCTTTCAACACAGATGTGCTATATTACTGTAATATCCCATCATACAAGATAGACATCTGCTATATGAGAACAAAGAAGTAAAGCAAGTTGAACAAAGCAGCTTAACAATTTTTTGAACCAAGTGTTTATGCTAAAACTTGTAGAAATTAGACTAAATAAAAGTTCTTATATAAATAAAAGCAACAAAAGTCAACAATTGAAATTAAACTTATAACTAGTAACCACTAACTATATATATATATATATATATATATATATATATGTGTGTGTGTGTGTGTGTGGACTTGTTCATTTTGACCAAACTCGTAACTATGAAATACAACTCGGAATGTATTGAATGTAAATTCATGAAATTTAGTAATTCCCTAGTAAACATTACATGTATGTTGTACACAAAAAAGTAAAATTTATAAAATAATTATATGAAAGGTTTGTCTATGAATTTATGAATTCAGAATTTCCACAGTTCTGGAAATCCTCGAGAAGTTTTGAAATTGAGAAAGAACTGACCCAAAAAATTGTAATGAAGTTTTACAGATAAGTAAACAGTTTGAAAACCTCAGTTATCAATTGAATGGACTGTTTTACTGCGTACGCATGTGCATGGTATTGTCTGATGTTGTGCGAGTCCAAGAACATGATCACCATATTTTAAACGATCTGTTGATATTGTGATTTAACCAGGTAAGTAACTATTGTTTTACTTTTTTAAATACTTCATTAAACATTGCAACTTCGGCTACAAGATAATTAAAATACTAATAATTGTATTAAGAGGTTTCAATTTTTCATAATATATTACAATCTGTAAGGCTTCTAGGCTGTATGTGTAGGCTAGATCTTAAATCATTCCTATGAATCACACTAACATTGAAATCTAACATGTCTAATGTTAGTACCTAGGCCTAATGGGTTATCTAGATCAGGATCTATATTATAACAGTAAAAATTGTTAAATCAGTATGACCATAGGAAACTAATTAACCCAACACAGATAGATATAGACATGAAATTTAGCACCAAATGCCTAATAGGCTAATTTTATGTGTAGGCCTAATTGTTTGTGCATGTGGTATAAAGAAGCAGATCAAGTTATAGACGTAACAGTTATATCTAATAATTTAGGTATAGATCTAATGTTAAAGTTAAACAAAGAATTTATTCAATATTACAGCTAGATGTATATTAGTACCACTAATTTTCTGCTAAATCTGCCAGTTTCCTGTAGGCTATCTTGTCTATAGGCATATGTTTAAATAACAAATGAAGACGTTTTACTTTGACTTGAAGTCTTGACACAGTTGTATTTGCAGGATTCAGATATAGATCTAATAATAACTTGTACCTTTTTTCATTTAGACTTTATTTTTCACTGCTTGCATGTGCATATCAGCATTTGTTAGCCCTAAGCCTAGGTCTAGTTTGTGCCAATTTTACATCTCATCATACTTTTGTATGTGTATTCCAGTTATAGAAAGAAAGAGTAAATCTGCATCCAACATTTGTTGAAGTAATATAGTATGTTATAAATCACACTAATAATTTAATTTTATCTCTTACAGTAGAATTAAAATTGTCCATGAATTTATGAGATGTCAAAGTGTACTACTGTTTTCATTTATTTCGAAATCAGGTTTTTGTACACCAGTGTATGTGCAGCAAACACATCATGTTATATAGATAATAAATGTGTAAATCTATTTGCCTATGTTTGCATCACTGCATTAAGGCCCATAATTAGTGAAAAAATTCCAAAGTAATGCAAGACTAAACAATATATTGGACATCCAGTGCTGCCAAACCAAACATGGGCCATCGTGTATATCATTAGTCTGAAGCCAATTTTATTCACACTAGGCCTAGGTCTATTTCATACAAGAAATTCTGTATGAAATTCTACAAATCCTGTTAAAAAATAGGCTTCACGTTGAAATGATAATGGTAAAATTATAATGATGCATACTAATATGTGTATATTATAGTAAAAATAAGGATTTGTAATGAATAAATAACAATACTTAATAAATCTCAATAAAAATCTTAAGTATTATGTAATAATTTAAAATAAATTAAAAAATAAGAGCATTAGATAATTTAATACATTTGAATATGGAATATGATGTTAAAAGACCAATATAAAATAATCAAATGAAAATTGTATTATGAATTTAATTTTTATATCCATCTCTCTGCAGGTTTGTAAAATGCCAACCAGTATAATTTTAAAACAAGTTGCTTTGCATATCAAATCTACCAGGAATGGTTAGAAAGGGAATTACATAAACCATGCCAAAGGTTGTTTGACATCAGCAAGATAAGAGAAGTACTTTTTCACAGTCATATGACAAGCAAAAGCATGCAGAATACATGAAATACTTGAAAGTAATATCAAGCAACAATACTACTATTTGTGTCTTCTTCAAACCACCTAAATAGAAACTGCCGCCTTGATTAACCAAACTGCCACCAGTTCAACTTCCAGCATTCAATCATTTGTTTCTTCTACTAATGCTTTAAGATCAGAAGCTTTATGGACTCTGAGAACTATTGACTGTCATGGTTCATATCATTCAAATGAAAGGATTACAGAGCTTTTCAAGAATATGTTCTCCGACAGTGAAATTTCTCAAAAGTTTCCATGTTGGAAATACAAAATATCATACTTAGCCGTACATGGATTAGCTCCAGATTTCACTTCCATACTGAAGCAGAATATCCTAAGTCTGATGGGTGTATTCTTTTGTTTGATGAATACTTGATTAAGTCCCTCAAGATGAAATAGTGTGACATTCATGCTCACTTTTGGGATGAAAAATCTGTCAACATAAGATACATCAAATATGAGTACTTACAACATGTTACTGTCACTGATATCTTTTCCATTGTCACAGACCTCAGTTGTAAGAGTTTATTGGAGATATCTATGGACAGCTGCAAGCTTAATTGGAAATTACATGAAATTTTATCATCTGAGCTAATAAACAAAATTGAAAAAAGATACCTGTTGCAAGTTGCATCTTGTGGTTTACACACAAAATGACTCTGTAGAAAGATGAGATTGAAGGCTATAAAAATTAGACTATCTTAAGAGTATCTATCTTATAATGAGTAATCTACCTCAAATTCCATACCTCAGAGAGAGGTGGTAAATACATTCGAGATGTGGGAAGACCTAGAAAACACATACTTGGGGAAATTGAGAATTTTTTAAACATTTTCTTACAAAATTAATTACTTCACCATATATAATATTCATATATGGTTCATTAACTGTGCTTTGATGCCAAGTTTATTCATATACATTTATAATAAAGTAGTTTAATTAAATTTTGAATGTAATTCTGTAAAAGTGACACATGTTCTAATCTACCCATAGCAAGAGGGTTCATTGTAACAGATACTTTTGTAACTGTATTTCTCACGAAAGTGTTGGAGATTGGATCTTTGTGTAATTTCATAAATTTCGTCTGATAGCTTAACCCTACCAATATAACCAGGTTTGCTTGAAATAACTCAAATTTAATATAAATCACCTTGTTTTTACTGAATCGTATAATTTTCAAGCCCTTTAATATTTGTATGTTCTTGTTTACATATGATAAGGCTTCTTTTCTGCATTATATGTATAAAAAAGAATGAGACTACTGATGTGGGTTTTCACCAAATTAAAAGTCTCATTGGTGTAAAGAGATATAGAATAATCCTTCAAATGTTTTGCCAAAGATTCAAAGGTAGACAAGTATCAAACTGCAGTGATTTTGTTACAAGTGTAAAAGATAACCCATATGCTAATGTTATCTTTTCAAATTCATTAAGTTAACAGGCAAATTGGTAATAACATCATTTTATTTACTGAGAAATAAATTCTTGTAAGATCAAAAGAACATTCAAAAGCACTTTGTGTTTGAGCACATAGCTTAAAATAAACACTTGGTATTTTGGATTGTAAAATCATTGACAGACAAAATAATATAAATAGAAGAAAAATCAAAGAAGCTTTCTTTATTAACAAACAGAAAACAAGCATTAACTAGTTATTCAGGTGTAAAGTTATACCGGGTGTCCCACTTGGAGGTATCCATTTTGTTTCCTGATTATTACAATAGTGTACAACTTTCCAGTTGAAACTGATATGGGACAGTTAGTTTAATCTTTGAAGTTTTACTTAGTATGCATTTTCTTTCAACACATTTCTGAAGACATTATTCAAAATTATCCATAACTTTTGCACATGCCACATGGAATATACTCTGAAAAACATCAGTTGTTGCTCATCCAAGGACCGTGGACACATAGCATAAACACAGTCCTTGATTAAACCCTACAAAAAAATAAAGTCACTGGAAGTGAGGTCAGGGGATCTTGGGAGTTAAGCAATGGGTCCACTTCAACAGATCCATTTGGTGGGGAATGTTTCATCAAAGAAATTATGAATGCCTCATGAGAAATGTGGAGAAGTACCATCTTGCTGCATACGAATTATATGCAAGGTACATATTGAGGCACTAAAAATGTTTTAACATGTTTAGACATGTTTCTGCATTGACAGTTTTTCCATCGAAGCAAAATGGGCCAAAGATGTAAGATGATGTCAGGATACACCACACATTCACTTTTGGTGAGTCAGTTGTATTAATAAATTGTGCTAAACAAAACTTGAAAGACTACCCTAACTGTTCCATATCAGTTTCAACTGGAAAGTTGTACACTCATGTAATAATCAGGAAAACAAAATGGATACTTCCAAGTGGGACACCCTGTATTTATCTGATTTTACTATCTTTAATGGACTTGTTTGATTTGCTTTTATTTTGTTTTTTAGAGACAGAGTGCCACTGTTGGTACTTCAACATGTGACAGTTTAGTTCCTTCATTCAGATGTATTTATCTGAAATTGTTAAGTGAACCTAGTGAAACATAATATTTTATAAAAAGTGAACCAAAAAGTTTTTTATATAATTATGTGTTTTTATCCATCAGCAAAGTATTAGTTCATATTACACGATCTTCCTTGAAATAAAAAGAAATAGTGCATGTTTTAACATTGTCACTGAAGATGGATGCAAAAATATAATGTATCTGAAATAATCGACAAACCCTTAATGTGATCTATGAAACATGAGTTGATTGGATGAGAAATACAGTGTATAAGCTCTATTGCAATGATGATTATACTAGTGAATGGGATATTGAAGCCCATTAGATTTACATGACAAGAGTGGTGATGATTGTCCATGTTATTTCCCATATAAAATGAGTACTCTGTTTCAATTATCTATTGTGAGATCATTTTTTTAGATTATGTGTGTGTCTAGATGGTTGGGAAGTTATCAAGTATGATTTGTTTTCACTAGATGGCAGCATGAGAACATCATAAGCTACTTTATTAACACAAAATTGAAATTACAGTAATATGACATACACTTTCATATTCTAGCTGATGGAATGAAAGAAGGTCAAAATACTTTATAGTATGAAAATTCAAGCTTCTTAACTGATCAGTAAAGAGTTGATTTCACAAAGTGCATTAATTTATTATCCTTCTCTCAGTGGGTAGGTCAAAATGTGCATGTCTTGACCCTTTACAGAGTTGCGTGTAAAATGTAATTAAACTACTTTATATATATATATAAACGAATAAACATAGTTAATAAATCAAAATTTAATATTATATAAGTTTAAGCTCTTAATTTTATAAGGAAATATTAAACAAGTCCTCAATCTTTCTGTAGTATGAGAATTGTAACATTTATTCTCTAGGCCATCCTCCTCCTCTAATTTATTTACTGCCCATCTCTGAAGTATGGAATTTAAAGTAAAATACTCATTATAATATAGATATTACTAGGGCAAAGCATAATTTTTATATCCTTCAATCTTATTTGTTTGCAGAGCCATAATCTATAAAATCAGGCCATGCCCACCTGTCACATCCCCTCTTTCACAAATTGCCACTGATTCTGTCTTACACTTTACACTATATCACTTGTAATCAATAAAAAGGCAAAGTTTTAATCTATTGAATAACTTATATTGTTTTAAGTACGGAGTATTGTCAATTTCATCCTCAGCTTGAAAGTTTATCTCTTGGTGTTCAAATCGAGCAGAAAAAGGAACTTATCTCTCTTGTCTTAGTTATAAAGGCAGCTAAATTATAATAGTTATAGGATGTTGCTTGCTTTGTGTGTTTTATTCTTTGTTCTTAGTTATATTATGTAAGTAAATAAAAATTATTTAGTGTACTAGAACTGGTTTATTCCCATTTAGTCCACTCTGATATAATCATATTCCAAAATAAATGTTTTTTCTGTAAACTTGGTATGCCACTTTATTGTAAATGAAAAACATTTAAAGCAGTGTTATAATTTCTTGAGAACAAGCTGTTTTTTATGAGATATTTGTAGTGTATATGTGCATGTAAATAAAAAAATATTGATGTGTGAATGTTTTAAGTCTATTGCATCGTATTGTAAACAGTATAAATACAAAAATGCTTTTTTCTAAAACTGTGTCAAAGTGATTTTTGTATCTAAACCTTATTTTATATTTGACAACCTTATGATTGTATTTTTTTACATTTTTCCCCATTTCGTCTATTGCCAATGGGAGGAGATGAACTGGGATGTTACCCTATTACCATCATTATAAAAAGTAGGGTTAAATTTCATTGGCATATTTTTTTATTTATTGATATAAAAGTAACTAAAATGTACAAATTGGCAATTTACTAGGTTAGGTAAGATAATGAAAAGGTGTGCTTGTGAGCAGCTTGTACATTAAATCATTCAACATGGTAATATGTGCTGAATGACTTACAACTTGTTTGGTGGGATTTTTAGTTATACACAGTTCAAAGAGCAATAAAACAATAAAATTAACTATAAATATATGTAGACTGTTATTAGCCTTAAGCCATTTAGGATAAACAATTGTAGTTTTCGTTTACAACCTGCAGTCATTCTAGAAATTAAAGGAAAAGGTAATTCAGATTTGTTTTGTATTTTTTATGATGGTTACAAGGTCTGGTTCAATTTGACTCCATGTATTCACAGACAAGTCTTAAGTAAAAATAATTAAGTACAAAAGACTTCTACTGCTTATTAAAGGCTTGCCATATTTCATGAAGATACACCAAACATTAAAGTTTAGTGAAAAGTGACAGCTCAAATTATAACACTGAAGTATTTTATCTTATCTCCAGGAAACTTGTCATTGACATGATTGCACTTGTTATTTTTGCTTCATCTAACTAGTTTTATACTGCAAAGCTAATTTCCTGTATTTCATGCAACTTGTTGGTAACTCAAGTTATGATGCTACTATTTTGATTTATATGAAATAAATTATTAAATACATCTATATCACTAACATAATTTAGTTGTTTTTTTTATAACCGTATTAACTTCAGATTTGTAGGAAAATCCTCTGTCAGTGACCTGAAAGGTTTGGAAATTGCTACTTTTATATTGATATAACTTTAATGATGTCAGTACGCGGGTGGTTTCAGTTGTCTTTATCTTGCCGATAAACATTCTAACTGGTAGCTGAATTGCTGAATGTCCGTAGTTGTAGTTCAGCACTGGCATAATGCCAACATATGGACAGATAATTGTTTAAATAAATGCAACCTGGTTTCTGGACAGAAAACTGTGTTTTGCACAGTTCTCCTAGTATGGCTAAACTACATCCAAAACATGTTACACAACATGCATGTTCAGATTTACAACAACTACATGATGCTTGCAGTCCATTATTTTCAGTCCCAGTCTATGTGGCACTAGAATGAAATAATATGATAAAGTTTTGTTTGTTTTTCTGTCTGAATTCTTTAAAATTATAATAAACTAACATTAAATTAGGTTTTATTTAGCTTTATTCCTTATACAGAGAATAGTCAAAGGATGTAGCAAAATAAGAAGACATTTTTTATAAACAATGGTGGTGTCCTGTTTAAACTTAGGTAAAATCATCCCAATTCTAGTTGGTAACACTCTTTTGTAAAGCTCATATTTTTTCAGAATTTGATATCATATCATCATGTCTGAGGGCGACCTTCATCTGTCAACCAAATTCTTTGAATCATGAGTGCAAAACTTTTTTGCAACCATTCTCCATAGTATGTTTTGAATATATTTTTGTGCTTTAAAGAACAAACCTCCATGCTAAAATGCACACCTAGTTTTATTTCAAACATTAACAAGTATTAAAATATACAAAGAGATTGAAATTAACGTGTTTGTATGCTTCTGAAGTTTAGCTGGACTGTATGATGCATGTACAAGGTGTGAATGTTACTATCTAACCCTTCTTCTAATCCACTAATTATTCATTTATAACAATTAAGCTCGACAGTGTATTACTAAAGTGGAAAGTTAATTGGCATACAATTAGTTAACACTTAATGTATTTTTCTGACTTATGTGGCTAAGAGAAATTTGTATCATGGTAGAAAGTTTCATAATAATGTTCCATCATTAACAGTGATGTTGAAATGAAACCATTGGCTTAGTTTAATATAACTTGGTATGTTGGAACTGTAGATCTTAAAGGTTAGTGTCAGTGTTTTGAGTATGAGACATACTAAATACAAGCAAGTAGTTAATGTGAAACAGTGAAGTACACTATTTCAAAATCCTTTTTGTTAGTTACACTGTTAACTTTGTTCCCATCTGTATTTAACATGTTATTCAAACTTTTACAATTCAAATGCATTAGTTTGTGTTTCTTATAGTTAAAGACTATTTGCTAACTATTTGTCCAACTTATCAGTTAGTAGAAGTAATTTTTTAGTATCTCACTATCCTTAACCCATCACCATGGGTAACCTTTACTGCCCATGACACAAGGTTTTTGTCTTATATTCATGTTATACCAATTAGTAAAGCATAAAATCTTATATATTAAAACATATTTTAACAGTAAATAAGATTTAAGTTCTTAATTCTATAAGGCAGTATTTAAAAAAATCCTGAATTTCTCCTAGTGTGACATGTGACATTTTCTATAGGTATATTCTCTGTTTTATCTATCACCCCTCCAAAAAGTACAAATTTCATCATAAATACTCACTATAAGATCATCATTGCCCAGACAAATCACAATTTCTCTAACCTTTGATTTTGTTTGGTTACAGAGCTATCAAATAGAAAATCAAACCCCCTCCTGCCACACCCACCTGTCACATCCTCTGTTTCAGGATTTGTTAATAGTTCTCTCATATGTTTAAATATATATTACCTATAATCAATAGAAAGTGAAGGTTTTTTCATTTATCAGTTGATGTTTTGTATAATATTGTGTTCTGAACAGATATGCATTAATTTTACTTATATAACACGGTTCATTCACATGTGAAAGTTAACGACTAGCTTGGATGAATTTGTAATGGCTCTTGTCCCATAGTTAGAAAGCCAGAAAATTTTTCAGAGTTAGGGGAAATTGTCTACTTTTTGCATGTTATTAGTCACTGTTCTTTGGTGCATTATTTAATTAAATAAAATATTATTTAGTGCATTACTACCATTAGTAAAAAAAAAAGTAGGGTTAAGTGTCATTGACAGTTGACAGCAAGAAAATAGAAGATTGGGTAAGTACGATTTGGTGGTTACGAGGGTCAAATTGACTAACCTTGTATAGATTTAAGGTTGAGAAAATAACAGATAAAATATAAAGTCTTACTGAAAACAAACATTTGAAATGTATTTAGGAGATTTTAGAGATTACACAAATGAAATTTGAGATTTTTGAGATGAAGAAAAGTATTTTTAATCTTAACATTTTATATCACTTTGCATATGGGCTATTTAAAACAAATACTTGATGTATTCAAGGACAAATCTTTTTTTAGTTTATTTGAAATAATTGACAAAAAGTATGATTTTTTGTATGTGAAAGACCTTATAATGTTAACTGAAAGACTCCCAAATTTTGTGAAGACATGCAAACTATATTAAAAGTTAGTAGTATAAAATCTATTAAGACTTTATATGAGTACAAAGAGGTCCTGTGGTTAGTCAGATTGACTGAGCCCATGTTGAGAGAGTTAATACAGCTAGAAATATCCAAGATGTATTATCATCACCAAATGTTACTAATCATCTCCCTATCAGTGTCACAAAATAAAAAATTAAAGAACTGATGCTTGAGTCACTCCAATAGTAACAAAGGTCCAGTTTAATTTGACTGATCTCCAATAATAACATCTTTACTTTCTCTCACATAAACACCTTTCAATCCAATTAACTAGTTCTATACAAACCCCAATAATAATTTGATTTTGTTAGCTTATCAAATACACCAATTACAGTCCAGTCCACATTCTTTCCATTATTCATATAAGAAGTAACCTGATAAAAAAAAAGTTGCCATAGTAGTCACACACATTTTCTAAACATACTTAACCACAGCTATTACTTGACTGCTAGGGTTTCCTTCGTTTGCTCATCTAAACATTGGTGTGATCATTTCTCGCTTGCTCCAGTCTTTTATACCCCACTTTCTACCTATCAGTGTGCCCTCTATCCTGTATATAAGTGCCTCATTCAAATAATGTTATCACTTTTTCTCGACAAAGCATTCAGGAACAAGTTTTTCTCTACTGCAACTATTAGTGAAACTTTGGGCTTTCTTCTCATTACCTAGTTATTTTCATGAAAATAAAATTGTTTGGCAAGACGATATATGGCAGGAATTCCCAGATTACTGTTTCAGGTACAGAGGCTAAGCAGGTCTCTCCTATCCCATCTCTGGTATCTAGCATTGATCAACAGTCTGGGGGGGGGGGGACTCTCAGCTTCTAATGAGGCCAGTTTGGATCAGCCACCTCTAACTCATTTTCTTTAGTTGGTCAGTTGGTGGGTGATATTTTGGATCTTTCCCCAGTTGCCTTTGAGCCTGCACCTTCCTTGATGGTGGAAAAGTAGGAGGGTGAATACTTAGTTCTTCCTCCATCTCCTGATTTTGCAGCTCATGCAGGGAGGTTTACTGCTCAGTTACGTGAAGGATAGCCATGCTTTGTTGGAATAACATACTTTAGCTTACCACCTCTAGGTGGATGCGTATTTAGACTCTTAAAGAATAGACCCACTTCTGGAAATGTGGGGGTTCCAGAACGGAGTCTGTGGTCAACCTGAATAGATCACAGTTTTCTAGGATTTGTCTGACCCCAACTACGGTTCTGAGATATTTATCATCCCTCCAAATTTTGAAGGAAGCCTTTCAGCTATTGCCACATCAATTTGATGATTAGTTGGGACCATTGGTTTGATTGTCAATTTTTGCACTTTCTCTTGTCTCTTGGTTGATATGTATGTTGTTGGGTAGAGATGCTCTCTTGAATGGTGGTTGTCTACCTGCTGCTACCCTTTGTGAGTTACATGAGGTCCCCTTTATTTGACCCTTGATGTCACTTGTTTGCATTCATTCCTGTCATTGTTGACCTCTCGACTTTCCTCTGCTCCTACAGGGAGTCATGGGTCTGCCCCTATTCTAGGGTTCCGACTACCGACATCAACCCCTCATTCTATTGGTACCCAGAATAGGTGACTACACTATACCTATGGGGTTTGGGGGCTTGGCTGCAAGAATTTCTGGATGTAAGGAACACCTTTACCACGGGATCTATGGGTGCTACAGGTTCTTGCATCAAGGTTGGTCATGCAGTTCACATCTTCACCACCATTATCCCTCAACCTGTAGATCCTTGGATTTTGGAACTTAGTTCCATGGCTATCAGAGATTTGTTGGTCAAGGGAGCAGTGGAGAGATTCGACCCAGTTCTTCCAGGGTTTTATTCTCATCTGTTTGTTGTGCTCAAGAAGACAGGAGATTGGTGTCCGGTCATCAATCTTTATCATCTCAACCAATTCTTAGATCCTCCCAGGTTCACAATGGAGTCATTCCTCACTCTAAGTTGGCATTTTTCACCAGGACTGTGGATGAAAAAGTTTGATGTCACTGATGCTGATCTACACATTCCCATAGCCAAGTCATCCTGCCACTATCTGCATTTTGTGCACAAGTGTCAGGTGCTGCAGTTCAAGGGTCTGCCCTTTGGACTAGCATTGGCACCATATGTATTCTGCAGAATCGTACAAGCTTTTTCTTGTCATCTCTATTCCCTAGGCCTGTGCACACACCATTATATGGATGACTAGTTTCTGCTAGCACCATCTTGTCAGTTGGCAGAACGTCACAGCCGGATTCTCCTTTCAGAAGCCACTAAGGCAGGCTTTATTTTCAGAACTGAGAAATTTGTTCTCACTCCACCACAATATATTGTCCATTTGGGTGTCTTTTTCAACACGTATCTCGGTTGGGCTCAGCCAACTCCCATTGGGTTCCACACTATGGAATAGATAGTCAATCTCTTACGTCTCCTTCTCCCACTGTGGTGGTTCTTTCTCTTTAGGGGATGTGGACATCACTTGAATCTCTCATTCCTTTAGGATGAGCACACATGAGACACCTTCAGTGGTTGTTGTGTGACCAATGGATCTTGAACAGTGATCCAGTGGATTATCCAGTCTTTTTAATCAGGATCAACATTTGAGATCTGGAATGGTGATTAGATCAGAACAATATTATGATAGGTGTTCCTATGCTGCTAACTTGTCCTGAGATCCATCTTTTTACAGATACCTCACTTTAGAGATGGGGTGCATATCTATGGATGGACAATGAGGCTTCCCTCCACATCAATGTTTTAGAGCATCTTACTGTTCAAAGGGTGATGTCTCAAGGTCTGGAATTATTGAGGGGAAAAATTGTCATGCTTCACTACAACAATTCAACGGTGGTGTTATACACTTTTGGACCCTTTGTTTTCAAACATTGGATCTTCTTTATTGTGCTCACTCCCATCATATCAGCCTACTAGTTTGCCATGTTCTGGGGGTGATGAATTTGATAGTAGATCAATTGTCTTGACTCAACTGGATTCTCCCAACAAAATGGATGCTACATTGTGAGGTTTTCTGTTTGATTTGCTCTCAGTTCGGAACATTGATGATCTCTGCATTTGCCTCTCATTGGAACACTCATCTACCAGCATTTTGTTCTCTGGTACCTCACCCTCGGCCATTGATGATAGATGCACTCAGTCAGGACTGGATGGGATTGCACCTCTATGCTTTCTCACTGATTTGTCTGTTACCCAGAGTTCTAGCTATGGTTTAGTCAACCCCTTGTTGTGTTCTGTTGGTAACACCGGATTGGTCAGTACCTTCAGGAGTGCCCACCTCTTGCACTTTCTCTTTGTCCATCTCTGTTGAGGCAATCGCAATTTATCATCGTACACCCAGCTATCCCAAAGTTCAAGCTTTATGCATGGTGGTTATATGGTCCTTTGCATGGCATTGGAGTTTAACTTCTAAGGACACCATGTATCTGTCTCAGTTTTTGTGAAGTCCCATGATGGACATTTATCAATGGAAATGGCACACATATCAACAATAGTGTCTCACGAGAAGATTGAACACGCTTCATCCATATGTTCCAACCACAGCTTGATTTTTGACCTGGATCTTTGATAAGAGTTTAGCATCTTCAACAGTTACCTTATGTAAGGTGGCTTTATCAACTACCTTTAGATACTCAGAGAGATGGAAATTATTTAAGTCACCTGTGCTCTTTAGCCCTCTGAACTCATTTTGGGGCCTTCATCTCAAAAGGCCATGTCAATTACCTAACTGGGATATTAAGGTGGTATTACATGCTCTGTCTTGACATCCATTTGAATCCTTAGCCTTATGGACCATGTTTCACCTTTCCCTTAAAGTTAATTTTTGGTTGCTGCTGTCCTGCAGACATTGCCAGTAGGAGTTGTTTGCAATGCATGTGCACAGGATGTTTTATCATTCTACTTACATATTTCTGTACATAGACAGATCCTTCTTACCTAAGACACTGGCAGCCAGTGAAGGGGATAAATCATTCTTACTGATTCATCTGGCTGCTATTTCTCACCTCTATGACTGCTTGGATCCCGATTGATTGTTATGTACAGTTAGGACCCTGAAATTTTATGTGGCTCACACTAACTCCTTTAGAGGTAATAAACACTACCATTGTAGCTATCTTAACATCTGCTAGATTATAAAGAGGAGTGAGTATTTTTATTGTTACTCTTGTTTCTTGTTTACTTTCCAGAGTCACTTACCTCTTTTTCACAGGATCCCACTGTGTGGCAAGTGTTGCCTAGACAAGTGTGCTTTATCAAACCAATTCTGCACTGGCAACCACTAACTCAGTATCCTTTATCTAGGTTGCAACAGGCTCTGTAGAAATGAGGTGTTCTATAAGACCACCTAGAGGCTGAGTGGGTGGTATTACTGTACTATGCTGGACTGCCACTCATGGACTATCATGAGTAAAGTATAAGGGGACCCTGCCCATCCCTGCCAATCATTGGATTAAAAAGATTGGGGTCAGTTTTCTTTTATAAATTTAGAGAAGTTGATTCCCCTATTGCACTGTTTCCAGAGCACTGTTCCTTAGGACTCCCCAATGTGCATTACCCTCTAGATTCTACTACTGGAGCTAGGGTGTCCTGGTTTCTAGTCATTGCGATGGTGGACAAAGTTTATTCCTCCAGAGTATTAGAGTGAATTTTTTCCACTCTTGGAAAAGAGGACAAAGTTGGGGACCCTCTTACCCGGGACCCTGGATGTTTACCCCCAGGTGTTGGTAGTAGCCTACTCGTAATACGTGGTCAGATTTGATGCTCAGCTATTTGTTTTGGTTAAGCATGGCCCTTCTTTTTGATCAATATTGATTCAGTACATTGTTCATGGAAGAGGGTCTATTGTCTCTTCATAATTCTGAATGCAGAGTGGTCCCATCCAGGGTCCTTGCTTTGTTCCACAGTTTGCCCTGTTTGTTCCACATCCTCCTCATAATTCCAGAAACAAGTGGAATTTACTTTGCCCACTCAGTTGGGGAGTGACAACGTGTGTTCATAATTCCAGACCAGATGAGTTCTCTTTCCTCAGATTGAGTATGGCATACAGGATCCCATCATTCCAAGACTGATATTGCCAAGGGTAATTAACTGGGTATAAATGACTGGAGCAAGTGAGAAAAAATCAGACCAGTGCTTAGATGGGCAAAGGAAGGAAATCCTAGCATTTGAGTAATAGCTGTAGTGTGAGAGGAGGTAAGTATTATTGGAAATACATTTTTGATTAAAAGAATCCTAACTTTCTTTTCATTGAGTTAGTTTTCACTCTATTTTATGATATTGTATTTCACCAAATGATTTTGTGAGCTTCATTTATCAGGCTTTAGAATTTTTTCCAATAGAAATGTAAGCCTGACCTATAATTTCATCTGCTAGCTGTTTCTCATAAGCCCCATTATATTTTCTTATTTCTTTTTTTTTAACTAAATCCTTTGCTTTCTTATAGTTCAGTACATGTTTCAACTTATCTTTCAATTCAAACTTCTTAAACTTGTGGTATTTATCCATGATTTTCTCTTTGTCCATTTGATGATCTCTCTGTTACCCTTTTTCTCTCTAGGAAAATACCTGTCTTGAATTAAAAGTAGTTAAAAAAAAATTTCCTGATTTGTCCCTTATCACATTTTGACTCATTATCCCATTAACTAATGATAAATCTTGTTCCAAAAGGCCTTGGAATTAGCTTTCTCAAAAGAGGAACTAAATTTCCATTTTTCTTGATCTCATCATGTAGCAAAACAGTAAATCTAATTATGCATGGTCATTTTTTCCAGAGTGTTTCTCCAGTTCAACTCTTAAAATCACATTCTAATTAATAATTAACAATAAAAGTAAAATGGCATCCATTCTGGTTGGTTCTCTTACATTTAGTAAAGAAAAAATTCTGAATCACTTCAAGAAAGCCTCCCACTCACTACATGACTCCACATAATCCCAGTAAGAGTGTCTAGATTCAGAGTATCCCATGATCATTGTATTGGTTTACTTATCAAAAACATGTTCTGATATAATTATACAATTTCTTTTTGACATGATATGTCTGATAGGTGACATATAAAAATTGCCTATTAAGAACTTTCAAACCTTTAAACCCTTGATTGTAACCCATATTAATCTTGTCTATTAATTTTGTCTTTAGTCCCAACCTGGCTAAAGCTCATATATACACACAAACACACACACACACATATATATATGTAAAGCCACTCCACCTTCCTCTTTATATGCTTCTTAACAAAGTAATTCTCTCGATAATATGTTACTTTTTTGTAGTAATTGGAAATTTTTATAGTTTAGAAAAGGTTTACCATTGGACATATCATAACTGTAGACCAGCATGCTTTTAGTACATGTAGTTAGTAGTATGGTAAGAAGTTTGTTGTTCAGAAAATACTTAGTCAAAATTATAATAGGTGATGCAAAAATACTCATATAATATGAGATATGCATTATTACATGTACTGAGTATGCAAACTACACTAAAATATAATTTAAGATTTGGTAGCTTTTCCTTAATTTTTCATAATAGTGTTAATTTGAATTACATTTAGTGTTAATCTTAGCAGGTATTTGTAAAACTTGAAGTTATAATTAAATTGTGTTAAATGTTTTGTGACAGAGCTGCAACAAAAACAGGGAGAAATTAGTGAAATAAAGTATGAAAAAAATGAAGGTGTTGAAGCACAAGAAAAAAATGTGGATAATCTAGAGGAAAAAGTAATAGAACTTCAAAATCATGAGGAAAAAAATGAAGCCTATGATGTCCAAGAGAAAGAAGAAGATGGTTTAAAAACTACAAAACTGAAAGATTCTTGTGTTGTTTCCAGTCCATTACCAAAGAGAAAACGTGGTCGTCCTCCTAAAAAGAAAACTGGTAGTTCTACTACAACTGCAAAAGTGACCAAATATATAAAAAACAGGGAGGAGATGATGCAGAAGAAACATGAAAGCATACAGAATAATTTGAGAACTGCTTCTGAAACTAAAGTTGATGAAAAAGTAGATCTTGAAGAAATGGAATCTGAACAGTTTATTAATGATGGACAGTGTGACATGAATACTGCAGATGAAGCTTTGACAGAAAAGAGCAGGTTGCAAATATCAGATCTGGAAAATAATCTCCAGCGTCAAAGACTTTCTCGTAGATGTAAAGATGATTCAAGAATTCACTTCTCCAGTAGTCCAGGTTAGTAAAAATATATTTCTTTGTGTATATAGCTTCATTAATTTTGTTTTTAGAGTTACATGCATAAATATATATATATATATGCAGATTTTGTTAAACAAGACCGATGTCTGTAGGTTTACTTTCTTCTTAGTCAATAAGCCGTCTTAACGTTGTTAGAACAATGGGTAAAAGTTGTAGATAGTGATGAGTTGGCCGACGCGTTTTGAATGTGTTCTGCATCCATTATCAAGGCTGAATGTTGTGTGAATTATGATTACTGTTGGTGGTTATTTATAGGTATGGGTAAGCAGGTGGTGGTATCTAGCTGTTTAACAAAATCTGCCTACAAGAAAATCTGTCACCAAAGTACACCAACATCCGAATATATATATATCAGGGTTGCTTGATTATGTTTAATTCGTTAAACATTTGAACATTTAACACATTGTAATTTGTATAATGGATCATATTTCAAGAAAACCATTTACCATATAGTGGTATTACTTTTGTTTTCTTTGAACTTATGCTGCATATATGTATATATATATATATATATACACACACACACACACACATATGTGTAGTAAATAATTCAATTTGAAACGTAACAGTATTGAGAGTAGAGCTGTGAAATTGGTAGTACATGTTCATTGATTAATTTATGGGCTCATTAATCAATTACGTTTGAGTAGTTGATTGGCACATCATGCCCTCGACAACCTGCAAAAGCAAATAAATAAAAAAAGACAGTAAGGTGCTTACCATCTTAACCTTTTCATACACTTTATTATTATAATGGTATTAATTTTCCTAGTTTTGTTTTTCTTAACTAATTTTTTAAAAACCCTTGAGTTCATATGATAGACCTCTTCTGAAGGTCAAATTTGTGAAAAATGTGTTTTGTACGTGAAAATAATATTTCTTCACATGTTCTATTTGGCAAATGAATCATTAATGTGGATGAAACACCACCACACAATTGTCATTGTTTATTTTTCAAATATGCAGTAATTCCACATTAATTTTCTGTAAACCAAATAAATAGACGATTAGATAGATAAAAACATGTTTTACTTTTATGATGAGGGTAGAAAATGTTTTTATTTGAAACATGTCACAATTGCAATTACAAATAATTAAGTAACTGGTTAGACTATTCACTTATATATGTGTTTGAATAGGATGAACATGTAAACATAAAAATGTAATTCATTGGGCCAAATTATTTTTTTATGTTGGTGGCCGACCCACAAAAAATGGCCAGGCTTGCAAATTGTTATTTGCAATTTGACCCCCCCTTTTTAACCTGCATGGTCATTTTGCTATGTAGTGTTTTCATTCTGCAAAGTTTTTAGTTTACAGAACATTACTTATCATCTTAGGATTGTCTTTTAAAGTATTTATAAATCAACAAACATTTTCCAAAACATATTGGCTGCTTATGCAATTGTTTACATGCATTGGCACTACGTTTCTGATAAATGTGTGAAAGGATTTTCACAGTGAATGTAACCATGTGAGCTGTTTCCCATCATACAGAGTAATGGCATTGCTGTTTTTCCACAGAAATAGCATAGTTTCATGCTGCAGTGTCACTAATACTACAAATTCTTGCATAATCAAGAACAGAATAAAGCAATTCGCAGTAAGTTCTACAAGGTAGGATGTGCATAACAAAATTGCAGCTGAAGGAAAAGTGTCAGCTAAGGATCTCACAATGGATGTTTGTATGTCCTCAATACATGGGGCTGGCATTTACCACCCAGATCTGCACGGTGCAATTTATCTGATCGGAGACTTTGAACCAAACTTAAAAGATGTTGCTTTTAAAGTCAGGCTCGAAGAACCAGCACAGTCTGAGGCTGCACAAGTAAACCTACCAAATGTGTTTGACAGATTGATGGGGTACAAGCAAAGAGCACTGATGGCCCAAGATTTACAGGTTGGTAACTTTAATTTTGAAATTAAAAAGATCAAGTATTTTCTTAGATATTTTGTACTTTTCAAAAGATTAGAAACACCAATACACGAAGAAGCATTTATCATGTGCAATAGCAGGGTGCATGTCTATGAGTATGCTTACATCGTCATCTCTAAGCAGTATGTTTTGTGGCATATTGCATATTTTTATTACATACAAAGGAAACCATTGGTTTGATGTTCATAAAAGTTAAAGCTGTGCTTTATGCTCTGACAGAAACAAATTAAATGCTGTTTAACCCTTCAAATGCGGTTGACATCATGTGATACAAGGATTTTGAGGGCAACTTTTTGAATGGCATGCTGCAAAAATTCATGAATCTTTGCAGTGACTGGTGTTCGTTGATCAGCTGACCAACAGCTAGTGAATATTAAAGGTGACTCACCTTGCATCTTTTTATCAGATTTGCTGACAAGAATAACTAAGCTCACTAATTAGAACAATGTTATTATTTCTGTAAGAGAATCAGGCAAGCAGGCTTCTTAATCTTCATTTAACCTAGTTTGCCCCTAAAGGATAGCTAAAGCTAGTAACTCTTGAGCACCATTGTGTTCAATCTGGGGAACTATGAAAAAACAACATAATTGTGAATTTTTTTTTTCTACACTAAACTGGACATCCCTAACTCTAGAACTATAAAAAAAAAGCCAGATCAAATTTTACTCTTTGAGTGCTTAAGAAGTCAAAATAATTAACTCTTCTCTGTAAATCACTTACCTAGCAAAACTTTAAACATCACTACAAAACAAAAATAAACACTACATCATTAAATATCAAGCCAACCCTCTTCAGTGGAGGGTTGTCTAACTAATCACATTTCCAAGTTAAATTAAAATACAATATAACAATTAAAACATTTGAAAATGAAACCCCTCAACAATGATAAATTTTACATCACAAGATATAATGCATTAATAATGATGACATATTAAATGAAAAACACTTTAACAATAACAGCATACATGAATAAAGATATTTTCTTATAGAAAGTCTAATAATAGACTTCCTATAATACAAAAAAACAAACAAACAAAGAAAAGAATATAAATTACAAAGTCTTTTAAACTAAAGTTATGTATATACATTGAGCTTACAATTTAAATGTGAACTATAACTTAAGTATATATACTCTCTGTATGAAAAATTGAATTTTCAAAATTACGAATACAAAATACGTATATAAACACTAATTTAAGTCCTCTAGTGCATCCATAGTCTAGTGGATAATTTCTATGGCTCTTTCAAGAGCCTTCCAAATTTTGTTTAGGTTCTCCATCCACCTGGCTGCCTGATTTTGGCAGTAGCACTTTACAGTCATTATCTGCAGCAATAATGTGTGTTTCTGTCATACCTCAGTTGGGGCATTTATGGAAAGCACTACCTTCTTCAGCAAGACTGGTTTAGCAACCAAGTGGTGTAACTAGATGCCTTGGTAGACACTGCTGCTACAGATGATTTTTCCCTCATCAACGTAGTCATAGTGATCTCCAATGGTGTAGTGGTAGTGGAGATGGCTGAAGGAGCAGCCATTTTGGAGTTAGCTTCTCTTTTCACTGATTTGAGTTATAGGAAGCTCCAACTCTGGTATTGAATCTTGTGATCCTACCAAGTTGTGCACACACACCATTTTGTTTATCTTTACCAACAAAGCACATTTTGACTGGGTACTTCCTTGACTCCCGGTGACGCTCTAACTTTCTTCTCTTCTTTTTTTATGTTTCATGGCTTTTTTGGTTATCTCCTTCACATTGGCATGGGTCATTTTTAATGGAGATTTAGGTGGCCAGGCAGCTTGCACTCTGCTGTCATGGGCTCCTCTGAACCCACTTTCTCTGGCTTATTTATAGCCAGCATTGCTTAGACAACCAACAATAAGATAATTGATGATGGTTTAGGGCACTGTAGTCTGGAGGGAAAGACTCACAATTGCTATCTCTAGAGTTAACATGTCATATACACTGTCCAGTAGTGTGTCTTTATCAATCAGCTCCAAAGACATAAAAGTAGGTCCAACCCCAGGTGTGGAAGGCAGTGCTGGAAACTCTAGTATTGCCAAAATCAAAAAGAAAAGACTCACCTGTAGATTTTTCATCTCAACAACAGAGAATACTAAAAACACCAATGTGTTCTACCTGTTTGCATGTGTAGATTTTTAACTTAAGACATTATTCATTCAAAGTTTTTGCCAGGACCCACAACTTGATATATCACTTGACCAGTTTCTTTGATAGATACTACCAAATGCTACATTTTGTTACCAACACTTATTCATCTATGGATAATTCCTTGTTAGAATGCTAGTGGGTTACAAAGAATGTCAGAAGAAGTTCTACGACTGGTCTAACTTTGAAGAGTTTATTGTGGTTAGGAGTAGTTCTAAAAAGAGCATTAGAATACTAAAGAGTATAGAAAAGAGGAAAGGTAGACCACTAGTCAGAAAGGACTAGTTTTCAGGCCCACAGCTATAGATACACCTAAGTAAACTAAAATTACAGTAACATCAGTTCATTTTCTAATTTTCCTTGGAGGCTTGTTTCTGTTGTGCCAATTTATAATTTGCATATTTATTTGCCTGACTTATAATTATGTGCAACATATCCATTGAAAAAAAAGTTTAAAAGACACTAACTGTCACCTCTTAGAAACATTGATATTTGAGGTTATGCTCCTCAGTAGCTTCCACCTCTTGTTCTAGGTATTGTTGCAGACAAGCGGCCTCTTCTGCACTGTCGAGGTACACGCTATACTTCATTCCGTTTTTACTTTCCTTAGGTGGTGGTTTCTGACCTGCTAAATCCTGATCTGTCCTTAAGGTAGAATCAAGAATAGCTGGTTCAGTATTTCTGGGCCAGTTGCCTTTGTAGGCAGTTGTAGTCAGAGGCCTCACAGCAGAAGCATCAATGTTACATATATTCTGTGTTGTGTATCATAAATTTTAAAAACAGTACATGTTTTACTGAAATGCCAAAATAAAGAAACAGACATACTGTATTTTGATCATCAACTACGCACTAAAACTATTGAACAGAAATTTGTGTGTATTCTACATGATGATTACTCACTTCCAGATGATGGTATTTATAACTTGCTTCTCTGCTGGCTCAAAATTATCTGTAATCGTGCCTTATTAACAAATAAATCACTTGCAATGTAGCAAAGTAATCCAAGTGAACCAAAGGCTGAAATTTTATATATTACAGTAATCCAAGTGTTCAGGCAAAAATTCATGTAAACTGTAGCTACAAGCAGGAACTAGTATGTATAAATATGGTACACAAATAACTTTGTACAGAGCCATTTCATATACGTTTTCATACTTTCAAAGTGCACTTGTATGTCAGTGAGTAAATCACATGCAAGCACTGTAGTGTAAACAAGCTGAGTGTTCCTTTCCTCAGTTCACTGTGTTTATGGCGTAGGGTCAGGTTGAGCTTGCTTGCTGCTGAGAGGAGAATAGTTAGGGTTTGTTGGAAACTGCCTAATGGCTCATGCTGTGTTTTATTGCTTGATCGTTTGTGGGTTACTGCTCCAGTTGGCAAAGTAAAAGCAAGAAAGAACAGATGTGAAAAGGATAAAAGTTGAAACTGTGAAAAGAAGTAATTTGGATTTTTCTGATCAACAGTGAAGGGGAAATAGTGGTCTTACTCATTCCATATTTTTTAACATTTCGTTTCATTGTACATGGATGATTTCTATACAGACAGAAATAAAGTGTGCTGTTAGGGTAGAGGAAATAAGAGATAAAGTATAGAATATTACCAAAAAGCAACTTCTGATATTGATTTAGGTCGGGTGCACAACTTAATTTTTAGTTCGGGCCAATTTGGAGTATAATTGAGACTTGGTGGGTAAAATATTTCTTCCTCCAAAAAATTTTTGAGCCTTTTGCATTTTCTATTAACTCTGAAGATTATTTAACAAAATTTATAAGTTTAATAACAGACAAAAATATTTCCCTTAAATTAGAAAAAACAAAAACTTTCAATTTTATAATTTTGTGTCACAGGCCGTACAAAATGAACTGACAGACCAGATTTGGCTCATGGGTCATTTTTTGTGCACCTATGATTTAGGTGGTTCTAGTGGTTATTGCAAATGAAATACTAAAACTGTAAGATCAAAAGAAATATTTTTATTCTTATCATGATAATCACCTTTAACTCAGTAAAGCTTTTGGAAATTCACATAAAACTTTTAAGTTGAAATACTTTCTTAAAAATTCTTTTTTTTACTTTTTGTATATAACAAATTGTTAATGTTTAGAATTGGTAAATCCAGTGTTTAGTTCCAGAGTTCTAAGCTAGGTGAAATTGACTGATATTAGGGTGACATCGGGACAAAATCTGTTTGTGCACTGTTAATAAGCTTTACAACTTATGGTGTCATGTGACGATGTTGCTATACTATGTGACCAGTTTGAATCACAATGTTAAAAAAGATTAAATTTCTTTTAGGTGTAAAGACATATTGAAAACACATACTGACATTTATTTTGAAAAAATTTTGAAACTAAAATATAAATGACTGAAAATTCTGTAAAAACTCACTATATGAAAAATATTTCACACATTTTCAACCTAAAATGAAAATGATTCTTGAATTGGTTCATAGTTTATGCTTCATCACACCCACCATGTTGGACATTTATTGATGCCTTTATTATGATGCACCAGAATAAGTTTGCACTTACAAATACTCGGTGTCATTCATGACCAGGGAACCCCATGAGACCTGATCTCAAGATGAATTTGATAAATCAGGGTCAAACTCCCATTACTGAATTTTCTCATCATATTTAATAAGCAAAACAAGAATTGGTATGGTTTGCCCACCTTATGTTACCACCTTTAATTTCAATATTGTTTAAGTAAATCGTTTCACCCAGTGCTACAGCATGTTGTGTCAGAGCAACTTTTGATGAATATCAATTCACAGTTCACCAATGGCAGAACTAGATGCCATTAATTTGAAACTCCAGATTTATTTCATGAGGAACTTCTTGCTGTAGCATAGCTACTCAACAACTTAAATTATGAACGTTTTTTGAATTATCGTACTTGGCATAAAAATGATCTTTCTTACATTTTCACTGTAATGGCAATGTATTCCTTGTTTTGCATGTTATCTATACATACATAATTTGTGGCTGTCCATTAGTGCATAAATGGTGTTTCTTCTAATGTGAATGTAGGAATTGTATCTCAATGGTACATTAAGAAGTAACAGTTTATTGCAAAACTTTAAAGATAAATGAAATTTAAATCAGTACTTACCTATAAATGTCCATTACTCTTCTTATAGATGTGAATTACTCATATTATGGCATTTGTAAATGAATAACTCTGTAATCATATACAACATATTGCACCTAATAATTTTGTGTTTTGGCAGAACCTTATAATTCAACAAAGAAATAGATTGCAGAAAAATAGATAAATTGAATTTTTTAAAGAATTGTGAAGTGTATTATTATGTTTCTTGTTGTATCACATCTTCAGTAATATTATTTTTAGAAATGGTGATACAAAACCATTTTAATGTAAAACAAAAACAAGAGTGAATCCTCAATAGCCATGTCACTTGAAATTCTTTTAGGCAGGATTAGAGTAAATTAAGCTATGAAACCTTGGGCATGGTCAAACACATCAGTCTAAAGGGTCTGGCATCCTGAGTCCAAAACTGTAATTATACCTCAAATCAGTCAAGAGATGACAGAGCTATGAGCTAAAAGTTTGTACTTGAAAAAAAAAAACTTGGAACCATTCTATGAGCCACTATTCCATGGCTAAAAAAGGGATTGTAATTAAATCTTTTAGTTATATAGTTTTTCATTAAAGTTAGTCTTATGAATGATATGATTAGATAGAATTAAGAGTAAAACCGTTCTTATTTAAGACCAATCTCTTAAATGAAACAAAATCACCCTATAGGCATTTTGAATTTATCAAATGTATGCTTCAGGGCCAAACAGAGCCTTTGCTTGAGTGTGTTAAGGGATGTTTTCCAACATTCTTAATGTAAAATGTAAAAGTTAAATTTAGAAAACTGAATTAAATAAGATTAAATATTCATTCTCATCCTTCATTTTGTTTACAGACAATAGAAAATTACCTGCCAAGCAGCAACCTGAAGAAGATAACACTTTTTTGTCTGAAGATGAAGAGGACCAAGCTTATGATTCTGATTCTGATCCAGCTTGGATGCCAGGAACAAAGGTTTGAATGGGTCTTGCTAATTCAGTTTTTATTATATATACCTGTATGTCTTAATTTCTGCCAGATTTCTCCCTATCTCAGATCTCGAACTTGATTTGGGTTTTATAAAATCTAGAGGCAGAAATTTGATATTAAATTTTAAGAATGCCTTGGTTTGCACTACAAATTAATATTTGACTAGTCTAGTCAACAATATTACTCCTTTTCAGACATATCCCAAGTAGTAACCTCAGATAGCAGATGATAGTGTGAAAGGTTCCTCTTTGGTTTCAGTTACTGAAGTACCAAGCTATCTTGTTCACATGATGGGTTATGGCATTGACACAAGTAGCTTTTGTGGAGTCCTCAAAGTGTGATGTCCAATTTTGATTGGATCTCTTATCTAGCCAAGCTAATCCATAATATCTATAGTTTATTATTCTTAATAGTCAGTGTGACAGTAGGCATCAGGACAAAGTATGATCTAATTACAAGGTGGTACGAGTGGGTCTAGTATCACCATATTATATCACTAAGTATTATATTTGCCAGGCTTAGAATATTTCTGTTTGCTGTAACCTGACTGACCTTCTGAAATTGGGGCCGACCGAGAGATTTTTCTAATATTATGACCTAGGAAATTTAGATTTTCACCAATTTCTGCCAATACACCAACCCATCTAACAAAATTTTTATTGCCATATTATGGTTAGAAAATTGGTAGATACACACGAGTGTTTTAATTTAAGTATAGCTTGAGTAATTGTGCAAATCATATGATATATATTTAAGTTAAACTGTCATAAATTGGTGATTGTTGTATTATTGTGTCATGTTTACGAACCTTCTAAATTTTTCTTGTGTGTCAACACATTATAATATCTTGTAGTGTGTTGAAAGTTCTATGCCTCAGTTGCTGTTTATAAATACATGTCCAATATGTAGTTCAAGTAAGACAAAGCTAGTGAGAGATATAGTCAAATAGATCTAGACTGTGTGTTTGTAAGTTTAGCTGTAACGAGTCTATTGAAGCCACTGTAAGCAGTATGATCTGATGAAGAGTGCTAACTCAAAATGTCATCCTTCTTTAAATAAAAATATAACAAAACTTGGTGAATGTTCAGCCTATTTTTTAATTTCAATGCATTGAAGTTTGACAACATGGATTATCTCGTCTCCAAAACCCTTTACGCTCAACTAATAAATACGCAATCTAGAAGGGAGGGTTTACAATTGACAAGCATACATCAGCAATATGGTGAACACAAGTTTGTTCAGTGTATCCGTCTAAGATTGAGGATTAGGATGAAAAACAAATTAATTATAATTGGAAACTTATCCAGGTGAAGTACTTGTAGATTTACTTGGTGAATGAGATGAAACAGAAAAACAAACTGTAAAGTTGTCAGCAACGGTCAGTTCATCTCCGTTGAATGAGGTAAATATCAACCAGCAAGTGCATGTTACAAAAGAATTTGACATTTCTCTAATTCTCTTCATAGAATAAATGTTAATAGTATTTGTATTCATGTTTTAACGTGTTATGTTTAGGTAATCATGGAACTAGTATTGTTTCAGAAATTTAAAAAGAAAAAAAACCTACCCACATTTTAAAGTTACAGCAAGCAAAACTATTTTTAAGCCTGACTGCATCTAGCAGTCCTCATTTACTTCTGTCAGAAATCTACCTTCCACCACATGTAACATAGTTGTATAGAACAACAGCCAAAATGGAAGCAAATGATAAATTCTATTAGGAAATTGAAGATGATGTCTTTCCACAATGTATAATATTCAAAATGTGTCAAGACAATTGTATGTTCTCATAAGGCACATGAAATGTGCACTTAGTGATGTATCAAGTTTTGAAGTTTTAGTAAGATGTAATTTCTTTTTGACCATAGAAATTGTTTGGGGAAGTATATTTATTACTTTCAAAGTATTGATGGTTACCATGTATTTCTTCAGTTCATGCATTGGCTATATTTTGTTTTGTAATCTCATGTTCTCTATGGTAGATATGGGTTTAATCTATTTCAACCATCAAACGAGTCATAGTTCTGTTAATTTCTACAGCTGTAGCCATGGCAAACTGTGTAAGGACTATTTGTTGTCATATTTAACTAAACATTCTCATGAAAGTTTGCTGCCATTAGTAGCAATAAAATGTATGCTGTAATTTCTGCATATTGCTTGCTGTTTATGGTACAGAACAGGTTTTTAATTACAAATAGTAGCATTTAAAAAAATCTAACAGTAATTATGTAGCTGTTACATGTAATTAACGTTATGTAAGGTACAACTTGCAGATCCAATTGTTGAGTTACAGTTAGTTGTCAGTTAAATATAACTCCGAGTTGATGTACATAACTAACAGATAAGAAACAAGTGAAGTATACATATGGTTTGTAAATTACTAACTTAACAGGAGTTGTGCCATTTTAATATAATAGTTTATAATATTTTCATGAAATACTCCTTTATTGAATATTCTTATTTCTCATGTGAGCAGATCTGATCTAAATTATACCAGCATACCACTAACCGAGATCATCCTTTTATTGAATACAGCATTGGCAACCTTATTTCATTTTTATTGATATTTTAGTTCATTTGCCTGTCATTATAGCATTTTGAATCCTCTTTTCTAGTTTTGCTTTAATTCAAACTTTGATTATATATTTTATAGACTATATTTCCTCTAATATGCTTCACTTGACTCTCAGGATTGTTGAAACTGATGAAAGAGACTGATGTCTCTTCCCATTGATCTGCATCACTTTTTTTTTTACTCATCTTTTTTTAATATTTCTTTTGATGCTGCTGAGAACTTTTTTTTTATCTTTCCTACTTATAATTTAACAAGTTTGAATTTATATGTTTGTTCTTGTTTGGAGCTCGAAACTGATTTTGAACTTTGCAGATTCTTTTCAGACCATTTTATCTTGTCCATTTAAAGTTTGATATATTAATAACTTTATGGTTAATCATCTGTCCACATTGTTGGACCACTGGACCAACCCAGTATCCCCAAGAAATTTGGCAAGCCTTTAGTATACATTTTATGTCTATTGTATACAAAAAAAAAAGCTGATTTTTCAATAAAGTATTTTTGATAAAGATATGTCTGTGAATTTATAAAGCCTTACTGAGTCAGTATTAAGAATAAAAGTATTTTTTTTTTTGTTAACTTATAGTTTTCATATTTCATTCACATAACCTTTAGACTCTCCTTAGTGAATATCAAAAGTGTTTGTTTGGTACAACAGTATGTTTTCTCTACCCTAACACTAACTGTAGTAAAATCATCAAGTACAGTGAAAAATAAATTGAATAATATGAAATAAAATCAGTAATACCTTTTCTATTTCTAATTATGGTAACAGACAATTAGAATTATTTTCCCGAACAGCCTCAACTTTCTAACTTTTTCACATTTACCTGCTTTTAATTTTGTTGCTTTACAATGCCCTATTTAAGTACATTACAGGCAGATAACCACAGCAGTAGAACTTAGTGTAAACAACTGATCAGATTACAGTCACATGACACAGTTAGCTCAAGCTGGTATCTTGAATATTTTTATTTAATGTTTTTCATTTTTTTATGTAATCTAACAAGTTTCTAATTTTTAAATTTTACTAACTTTTGTTAATAAAGTGTACAACAATAAATGAAAGACAAATAGCAAGAAGATCAGAGGCTCTAGGTTTATATTCTGTCTTGTTTGTATCTATAGTGTTTTAATTAGTTAGAAAATCAAGTAAGGATAGAAATAAAGTTTAAAATGGGCAATTTGAAGCACCTACACATCACTTGGTAAACAGTAAACTTAACTAATTATATCTAATTTGATGATAATTTTATTGTATTTGGTGAACATATTAAAAAAAAACATTGTGTTCACAAACACTGCAACTCATTAAAACCATATTATATTTATTAAAAAGTAAAAACACAAATAAACATCAATAAGATACCTTTATTAATTTTAAACAATCTCTAGTCATGTGACTTCTTTGTTTCATACTGTAAGTATATTCATATGTCTAGATAAATGTCCCTGATGATGACAAAACCTACTCCAAACATTGTAAATTTATGACTCTGTTAAACTTCTAATAAGGCTGCTTTTGTTACATATTCAACCTGTCTCTAAGCTATACGAGTTTACCTTATCTCAAGTTATCTGATGTCTTCTCATTAAAGAAAGCTTCTGAACTTCCGTATCTTTCAAATATAATTTAACATACAACTACTTGCACAGTTCACAAATGAATGGAACTGAAAGGAATGTGTACAGAAACTAAAAAACAAAACAAATTGAACCTATATATTTTTTCGGCTACTAAATGTAGTCTAATTCTTGCTCTATCTAGTCATATTTAAACTTTTTTCTTTTTATAGCTGTGTTTCTTTAGTAACTAATCACACCACTTGTCACAGTAGTGAGGTTTAAATCAAGACCTGTTCAAAAACACATGAAAATGAAGAAATGGATAATATATTCTCAAAGGTTGATGGGCTTTTGTAAAACTATTTATTCTGTAAGATGGGCAGAAAATATCTAAAACAAATCTAGAAGTTGATTGTTTTGTTTACAGCCAGTACTCTTTGCAGGTATGCATAAATGAAAATATGAACTATTTTGTTATTAATTACACTAAATAAATGTCAGAAAATGTTAACTATTAGTTCTAAAATATATTTGAGTTAAAGTTCTTGAGACATGGTTAAAAATAACATATAAATTTACTTTAAAATTTGTGTCTTTTAAAAATTTTATGAAGTGACAAAAAAATGAAAAGCCATAGGAAACCCTGTGTTCACATTTAAGGCACATTTAGTAGTAAGCTAATTGTTTAATCCTAAACTTTGTATACAAAGATGTATCAAATAGCCAATGCAACTGCTTAACATTTAAAAACAGTAAAGGATTTATTCACTTATCAATCACCTGTTGCAACAGTACTGCATACATTTTTCTATATTTATTATTCCAGACAAATTCATTATTGATT